ACCTCTTTTATAGAGAAATGGGCAAATTTGAACCACTCGCTCAGAGACACGAACGAACACGTGTGAACACACAACCCGATCGTGCGCCAGTACTGCCGGGCACTCTGGCAATGGCGATGCGGAGATCTCTGTGATCCGATTAACTGTAAGCGTTACGTCCCTCCATCCCGTTAGAAGTGATTGGTGTGTGCGTGTGGTTGTGTTTTTACTACACAATCGTTGAGCAAAAGGCCCAAAACGCCAGCGACAATCAACGTCGTCAAAGTAGGCAACGGATGAAAAACAAATTGTCGGCAATAGAGTCAAGGGCGTCTCTTGAACTGAGCAATGTCATAAGAACACTCGGAAAAATGTAAATAGGCACGTGGGGAGGGAATTCCAGGGTCGAGGGAAGTAGCAAACACGAGAAGCGATATGACTGGAAAGTATGGGTGGCTGGACACAGTGAGGATGAGACGGAACAGTCAGTCTGGTAGGCTGAGTAATTAACAACGGTCTGGAGGAGTCGGCAAGCGAAGTTTACGGGTTTGGCTCTGGCTGTATAAAATCCCACGGTGACATTTCAGTGTGCATGTCTGCCCGGCCACCGTCGTGATGTTAACATCTGCAGAAAGGCTGTGGGTGTTTTTTTCTCTCCCTCCCTCCCTCGCTCGGTCTCTCTCTCTCTGAAGCTGTATGGGGACATTGCTCGCAACAAGCTTAGCTAACCCACATAGAATGGAGGTCAAACAGTAGCGGCCCGGTGACTTTATTTAATATAAAATTTTGCATCATAATAAAAACCCTTTTTTTTTGCTTTTGTTTGGGAGGGGTTCTGAAAAAAAAATCTGCATTAAAATATATCCCGCAAAATTTTAATTATGTTTTGCATTTCCTTTTCATTGGAAGTGCAGGCTTTTGCGTGAGCGGGGATAGTTTATTACCCTTTGCATGGAGTAATCAAAGCTGCGCTGTAATGAGGTTATTATTAGTTGCAGAATGGATGGCTCGGTCGGCATGAAAATCAACTCGAGAATTAAACATGTCAAAGTATGCGCATCCATTCTGTGAACTTTTGTTACCGCGCTGCCTTCATTAATGCCGCGCGCGCACACACACACACCCCATGCATAATACACAAGGTGATAAGGCGTCACGTTCGGGTGAGCTCCCCACGCCCCGACCTCCTGCCCCCCCCCCCCAGCCTCCCTCACGCACCCCTCACCTCACCCCAGCCACCCCCTTCGTCGGACTTATTTCAGCACTCGCTGAAAATGGCAATTCTTGGCATTTAGCCGCGCTGGAGGGGCATGAGCAGCTCTCTTTCAAAATTAGTTGTCGCCAATTTGGGCTCGGGCAGAGGCGGGTCTTTTTGTTTTCTTGCTCGGCATTTCTCCCTTTCCGTTTATTGCCCATAAGTGCATTTGCGTACCGGTTTTATTGCATTACGACTGCATTAGCGTGGCTTCTGAAAGTAAAATACCCGCGTCATTTGGCGTAACCGGCGGCTGATCTGAAACACAATTGAGTCGCCTTATTAACGGCATTGCGCCCAGCGGTGCGGTGGTTAGAACACCCGAGGCGCAGTTAGAAGAGCGTGGGTTCAAATCCCGGTCAGGGTTTAAAAAAAACAAAAACATCAGCAACTCATTCAGCTCCCACCAAGGACACGAGTGGGCCATGGTTTATCCGCTGCTGAATGAAGCGCTCCCCTCTCCCCGCAAGCCGCCAGGCGTGCCACGCCGTCTGCGATGCAGCAATCCATCTCAATGCTGCTCTGCGTCGAAGCTGATCTCATCCCAGTGGTCGTCCTCTTGGCTGCGTTCCCTCCACTGGCTGCAATTCTGCCACCAGTCTCGTCCGTCGGACATCATCGTCCCTGCCGGCGATGCATCAGGGCCAACCACCCCCTCCCGCCCCCCCCGTTATTCTACCTAACAGTCAGTCCCCGATGAGCGTCTGCTTCCTAGCCGCGCATGACGCTCTCTGTCTCTCGGCACAATTTAAGAGCGCCGCATCTCTCCCTCTCAGCGCCTTTCTTTGTCCTCTGTTCATCTTTCGGTCCGTTTTGTTTGGCAGCATTCGTGTTCTTACGATCCGCGAGATAGCCGACGGAACACTTTATTCTGCACACACACACACACAACTGGTGCGCTGCGTTGCATTTCCACGCTTGCCCTGCGGTCAACAGTCATTAGCTACGAGGCTCGGGGACTGTCACCAGTTTGGAGGGCTGCCCATCGCTTGTTTGAGCACGGCGACAATTTCCGACATGTCGACGTCTCGTGCCTAAAAGTTACGCGGAACATTTGTCTCTCTTTATTTAGTTTTCGTCGCGAAGCACTTGCGAACCCTCAACCCTGAGACGTCGCTATCCAGTGTGCAGTCGGTGCAGCTGCTGTAGGGGCCCCGGCGCCTGGCTACGAATAAGACGAGGGAGGGTGGGGGGAAGGGTGGGGGGCAGGGTGAGAGGGGGGGAGAGGTTGAACGAGAGGGAGGGGGGGGATTGGAGGCCACAGTCTTGCACCAGGACCCACGCTCAACCACGCTGCGCGCCACTGCCCTAACCTGGGGGTGGGGCGGCGGCGGGGGGGAGGTACAAACAGTCGCTGAACGCCCCTTTGCGGAGACACAAATCTTCCTCGCGGAACCACGATTCATTTGCACCGGTCCCTTCACGTCATCCTGAGGCATCGCTCGCCGCGGAGCAGCGCAGACGCGAAGCGAAGTACGGCTGCCATCCTCTCGCTCTCTCCTCCGCCAGAGCGCCCCTCGGAAAGGCGCCGCCGGCGTGTCGCTTGTGCTTCGACGGACGGATGCTCTCATTGGGCCTGGCACCCGGTGCAGCGGAGAGTACGCAGTGCTCTTGCCGGGGGCCCTCGCTAATTAAACGCGTTATGGTCTTAGACACTTGCCTAGCTGCCAGAGGCTGGGGGTGCTATGGGGTACACGAGGGGAGGGAGGGGGACCAAATGCCACCACTCTTCCAGAAGCTCTCTGCATCTTCAGATAGTGGTGGCATTAGCCGTTTATACACGGGATGGTTTGCAGCCGGGATGGACGTGATGTCCTCGTACGTATATTTGGCCTCCATACGTGTTCAACTATGTGTGGCATTCGGTATTGCCGAATGCCACATATAGTTGAACACGTATGGAGGTTGGCTACGTACGGTGCGAAAAAAGTTATATATACATACATACCTTCAATTACCCCTTTTTGGGGTGAAAGAAATACCCAGAGGGCACGACTCCACGACATGCAAACCAAGCAAGCACGATCCTATGCCGTCTGTCGCGATCGCAGTTTCGCGTTCAATTAAAAAACATCACAGCAAGAAAAGGTAAAGTGAGTGAGTGAACGAGCAGGGCTTTGGGAGCGAATGTCACTGGAAGGGTTGATGGCCCGTGGCCGAGACTAAGGGTGGAGTGGCGGCCAAAGGAGGGCACATGGTCTAGAGCGGACGCCTCCGAGGAAGGTCAGAGCAACCAAATCGGCGAGTCTGTAGGTGCTCAATGCATTTTTGCATCGCAGGAACCGTTAGAGGCGGCAACCGCTTGGGGAGGCCTTCATCCATCAGTGGATAGATCGTGGCTGACGATTCACGATGACGGCGTGTCGTGCGTGCGGCGTGTGTGGATTGGGGGACAGAGAGGCGGACGCACAATCATGTGCGCCGCGAGCGGGAATCGAACTTGGGTCACCGGGTTCATAGCGCAACGCGCTAACCACTACGCCACCTTTCCCCCAGCACTGAGTCAGTGGTGGAAATGCCACAATCCAATGTTGGGGGTGGATCTATCAATAGGACAACCACTGTGGGTAGCTTGCTGACCCACTCTTTACTGGACATCTGCGAGAAAGAGCTTCATAGCTCATCGGATTCCTCTCGTATAAGCAAAGAGTCTGATTCTGACTGTTGACCTCCCTACAGAGTGGTACCTATTTTATCAACCCTGGAGAGATGATGATGAGTGAACCCCCCAACCGGTATTGGACCAGGCAACCTTTTGATTGTAAGCCTCTCGCTGTAATGCTGAGTTACCTGGCAGGCTGTTAACAGTAAACACACACGCACACACACATATATATACATCCACTCAAGCCACACAGGGATTGCATTCCATATTTCCCTGCAGGGAGAAATTAAAGAAATGCAGAGCAGACAGCACAAAAGAAGGCGAATATGACGGGGCCGTCATTCCACGATTACAGCAGCCACGTGGGCGAGACAGCTGTGAATGCATTTCACGAGCCTCGCAGATTTTGCGAATAATTGCGCACACGCGAGAATGGATTAAAGCGGAGCAGTCGACATTTGGCTTAAGAGGAGAGCTTGAGCGTCTCGAAAAGCAAGCTTATGAAACGAATTATATTGTAAAAGTTTTTTGGGGTTTTAAGTGCAAAATGAGCGTAACTTTGTTGGGCGAAATGGTTTTCTAACAAGTGTAAATACGAATAGAGAAATGCCCGTCAAGGAATTTTTACGCCATGGGGTATTTTTTCTGCTGACAATTTTTGTGGAATATTCACATCAAAAGACATCTACCACGCGTGCCTAATTTTGAACGGTTTGACAAAATAATTCACAGCAATATGTTGGGCTCAGCGTACTCTCGTAATTTTTTTTTTATGACCAAGCTCCATTACACCGGATGGACATTGTGTGCGGCAATCCTCTTTAAGAAGACACACAAATGAAACCAAATAAGATAACGTGCAGACTAATATTAATGCACACGCGAATTAATTCGAGGCTGAACGGCACCCATGGCGTCGTCCTAGACGAGCGTGTCATCATTATACTAAATCTTATTTGAATTTGTGCCGTCCGCATCGTGGTGCGATACTATCCACCCCCCCTCCCCCCCCCCCCAGTACGAGCAACCCCGAGTTAGAGAACGGTCCGCTGAAGGGGACGTCACAGAACTGCTTCCGAGAGATTCCCTTCAACGATTGACCGCCTCCTTCGTCCGCTCCAACGCCGAGCCGGCGAGCACCGCGGGGAGCCGAGCACTCACCACGCTTGTCCTTCTTCCCAGCCGCGGCGGCTACGGCCAGGAGGACCAACAGCAAGGCGACGGCCCAGCGCGTCTGCATCCTTCCTGCAATGCACGACAATAACGACGACGAGAGATGAGGACGACGACGACGAGAGTTCAAAGACAAAACGATCGACGCAATTTGAAGCCCCAAAGCCAACAATGTAGACAGTGATGAAACAAAAAAACAGGATAGGCTTGAACCTTTCTGGCAAAAAAAAACAGAAGGTGTTCAGATGTTCAAACACCAAACACTAAATAGATTTTTTTGCAAGGCATCAAATGTACATTAACCACAAATACTTGTGTAAAACATGCATACAAACATACTCCGATAATCTATGCATTATGTTCTTGGTTCTTTCGGTAAAGTCACGTAGATGGGAAAATAATATAATAAAAATATAAAACAATCAAAATTCTCACGACGTTTCGACTGCAACACAAGCAATCATCATCAGGTGTGAAATCCACAGCAAATTTTCTTGATTGCTTGTGTTGCAGTCGAAACGTCGTGAGAATTTTTATTGTTTTATATTTATATTATTTTATTATTTCCCTTCTACGTGACTTTACCGAAAGAACCAAGAATATGAATCCCTGCAGTCACGAAAGCTTTAAATCAAAATCGACGCATTGTCTCTGAAACTGATTGGCCTACACCAGAGACAACCTTCTTCATGGCCTTGTCTCCACCGCTAGAGAACAACGCCAAGGTGTGATGAGTGGATGTAACATCACTCAAGAAGTGCTCACAAGTGATGCCATCAAATCTACTCCTCTATTTAAAGAACGAAACAGGAGGAAGACTTCTCCACAAATCTGGCTGTCGCCTGATGATGCTAGTTGTAATTACTGGCGAAACATCGTAAATGTTGTGGCGTTGCTCTCCAATACACCGGTGTGTTGTACAATTAACGAATTGTCACGTTCTGTTTACGTGACAAACCTTACTAATTGGCTGTGTCGGGTGGTGGCGGTTTTAACGACACATTTATACACAGGGTGCTTCAAATGATTTTAACACTTATATGGGACTATCGTTTTTAATGGAAAAAGAAAGGATAAAACACTATAACATGATAACAAATGTCATGTTAATATCTTCAAAATGTTAAAGAGTCTCCACTTGTTCGCCATCATTGTCAAAGCGTGCTTGGAATCTTCTCCAGATGGTCTCCAGAGCCCGGAGGCACGACATCTCTTGTGTTTATTGTTACAAAATCTCGGAAACACCCTGTATTTACGCAATCTAACCCCAAAAAAACCTGTACTATGGATGATATTGGTCGCGAAAGCCTACGTGTTAAACTAGATATAACTAACTGCTCAACCAGGAGCTATGAATGCTCTGAAACTTGCATCGTCTTGAACACCGGACGGACGTCGTGCCAAATGCCATGGTGCAATCCCAGAAAATCAGAAAACACGGAAAGCAACGCAGGCAATGTGCGTGTGAGATTCCGTCTGTCCGGGGCTCAAGGATTCAACCCACCCCCCCCCCCTCCAGGAGCGAATCTATGAATGGTATCCATCCAGAATCGTGATTCGTTCAAAGAATGGATTATTTTTAATCGTTGGGTGAGGTGGACATGTTGCACGCAGCGCGTAGCTCTTGAGAAATTGTTTCTTATCCGCGTGGGATTCCACGCTTATATTACGTGCTTTAAAAAAAAACTGACATGCATGCCTTAAGAGATGCATTGATTCCACTTCCAATTGTTAAGAAGAAGAATAATGTAAGGAATACACATCGACTGAATGTGTATCTGCATTATGCTCATTGAGGCAGAAAGAGGAATGTGCGTCTCTGGCTTCTCTCGTTTTTTTCTCTCTCCTGTCAACCACATTTCAAGTGCATTATTTGTGTCATGTTATGAGATGACATTTCTATTTGAATCTCTTGCATTGCCTTGTTCCGGAGAACGGTCCCAGAAGGTGATGTCACAACATTACTTCTTGTTTTTAATACTTTGGTACTGGCAAAAAGGTCCCACGATGTGACATTACTTCTGCCTGCTTATATACACGATGAGTACACCGGTTACACGCCCTGCGCAAAAATGTGTTCATCGCCTGTCAGTAAAACCAAGCTGCAATCGGACAAATTAAGTGAAAACACGTGAAATACAATTGTCTTTTTTGTGCAGCCATTGGGTACTAGGCTGAGACCCTCGTTTCGCCACACTTGGGGACCTGACTTAATCAAAGGGCGGATGGAACCCATGTTTGAATTGTGGATTTTAGCCACCCAGCTACCTACCTACCCAGCCACCCACCCACCCAAACAGCCCCCCACCCACTCGACGAGAAACTGGTTCACCCTCCCAGCCACTCATCCACCCTCCCAGCCACACACCCACCATCCCAGCCACTAATCCACCCAGCCACCCACCCACCCTCCCAGCCACTCATCCACCCAGCCACTCACCCACCCTCCCAGCCACTCACCCACCCTCTCAGTCACTCATCCACCTTCCCAGCCACTCATCCACCCTCTCAGCCACTCACTTACCCTCCCAGCCACTCACCCACCCTCTCAGTCACTCATCCACCTTCCCAGCCACTCATCCACCCTCTCAGCCACTCACCCACCCTGCCAGCCACTCACCCAGCCTGCCAGCCACTCACCCACCCTTTCAGTCACTCATCCAACCAGCCACTCACCCAGCCTGCCAGCCACTCACCCACCCTGCCAGCCACTCACCCACCCTTCCAGTCACTCATCCAACCAGCCACTCACCCAGCCTGCCAGCCACTCACCCACCCAGCCACTCACCCACCCTGCCAGCCACTCACCCACCCTTCCAGTCACTCATCCAACCAGCCACTCATCCAACCAGCCACTCACCCACCCACCGAGCCACTCACTCACCCTGCCAGCCACTCACCCACCCTCCCAGCCACTCATCCACCCAGCCACGGTGCGGCTTCCCTTGTTGTTGAGCTGCGCAACGTTACTTGCGTGTGTTGACCAGACCAGATAACGTGTGTTGTATTGCATAAAAAAGCAACGAGAAATAAAAAAAACATTCGGATTTCATTCGGGCTAGCAAGGGCAGCGACGGACAGTGTCGTCCCAGCGCATCGGCAGGCCTCGGGAAATAATTTCTCCATTAACCGCTGTGAAGGTTAACGTGGTTCGACAAAGTCATTGCAGCGATTTCACTCATCGCAGACCGAGACGTTGGGCAACATAGACTCGCGACACGAGTTCTTGGTTCCAAGTATAAATCATCCCCACTGCGGTGGAGGATTACGCAACCGCACCTCACGCCCCCCCCCCCTCACTTCGCCCCCAACCCCGGCCCCCCCTCCTTTTCAAAGGGCACGGCGGAGACCTTCGAGATATTCACGCAGAGCAGGACAAGCGCCTCTGAACGATGGCGACGTTCACGCGGCAGTTCGAGAGGAGAGACGCCGGGGTGGGGGGGGGGGCAGGGGGGGTGGTCAGGAGATGAAACCAATAATCAGCTTCGCATGACAAACGAGTCACATTTGATGAATAATTAAAAACATCGCGGACAGTAATAAAGCTTATTGGAGGAGGTTTAACACGTCGGCTTTCGCGACCAATATCATCCATAAGAGGTTTTTTTTGGGTTAGATCGCGTAAATATATAAATGTGTCGTTAAACCCACCACCACCCGACACAGCCAACTAGTAAGGGTTGTCACGTAAACAGAACGTGGCCAATTCGTCACTAGTACAGCACACCGGTGTGTTGGAGAGCCAAGCCACAACATTTACAATCTGAGTACGACGTTTCGCCAGTAATTACAACTAGCTTCATCAGGCGACAGCCAGATTTGTGGAGAAGTCCACCTGTTTCGTTCCGTATATAGATAGAGGCGTAGATGTGGTGACCACACTTCTGTGCTCTTGCGCAAAGTGTGGGGGGGGGGGGGGAGATAAGCGTACACGGCTAATGTCAAAATAAATGGGAGAGGTTTCTTGTTGTTGCCTCTCTCCGCGGCTGCGTGCCACTGTGCCGGAGTGTGGCATTCGGCTGCGTGGTATTTCGATAAACCCCAACGGCTCCTTCGTGCCCCCCCCCCCCCCCGATTCCATCAACGTGAATGTCATACAAAGGAAATTGGCTCGCCGAGTGACAGCGCCGTGGCTTACGTCCAATATCGGCGTGTCGCGAAGCAGGAGGGGGGGGGGGGGAGCACATTCCACGTTTAATCCCCGTAGAAAGGCGCTTCAGATAAAAACAAAGGGATTAGCCTATTGCCTGCTTTATATTGATTTGCAATTAACGGCCGGCACCGATAACGCCTTAATGGGTATTTCGTTCCTGCTATGGAGCAGGATCAGTGGTGGCGACCAAGCAACACGAAGAGCTGTCCACCCCGGTCCTGTCAGCGTCGCCACGCACCTCCGAGCCCCCCTTTCCACGCCCCCCCCGCCCCCCCGTTGGCCGCCCAACCACGACCTCACCCCGTCTGCTCACAAGAGGCGCGGTGGGGCAGGAGACGACGAGGGCGAGTGGCCCGCTGGAGCCGAGCGAGAAAGCTCTCGGTACCTGCTCGGCCCACTTATCCCCCCAGTGCCGGAATAAGCTAGTGCGGGGCCTGTAGCGTGTGATGTTTTAAAGGGGCCATAAATAAATAAATAAACACAAATATTTAAACACAATTTTTTTCACTTGCAAAGTAAAGAAATTGTATTTTTTCATTTGCCATACAGCCAGATGATACGACAAATCGCTAACCTTAAACACCCAGCCGTTCGTAAAAGTTGAAGGCAGTATAGTACTAGAGCAAGTGCAGAATCACTGAACCGGAATTGATAGATCTTGACTTAAAGCTTTCGTGACTGCAGGAATTCATATTCTTGGGTCTTTCGGTAAAGTGACGTAGATAGGTTCAAAGAAAATAACAAAACATTACAAAAAACTACGACGTTTCGATCGCAACACAAGCAATCGTCAACAGGAAAAAAAACCCGTCGTAGTTTTTTGTTATTTTTTGTTATTTCATTTGAACCTATCTACGTGACTTTACCGAAAGACCCAAGAATACGGGATTGATAGCTTGAAAACATTTAGCGCGGGGCC